CTGAGGCGCTGGCACAGGGTGCCCAGAGAAGCTGTGGCTGCCCCATCCCTGGCAGTGCTCAAGGCCAGGTTGGACACAGGGGCTTGGAGCAAGCTGCTCCAGTGGAAGGGGTCCCTGCTGTGGCAGGGGTTGGAACTGGATGAGCTTTAAGGTCCCTTCCAACCCAAACCATCCTGTGATGCTGTGATTCTGTGATGTTGCACGTGGACCATCCCTTTGACACTAGAGCCAGCTCGGTGTGCTGGTTCACAGTGTGTGGACCACAGACACCATAAGGAAACCTGGAAAACTCCAAGGTGGAAAGGAAGGAAGCCCCAAGGGAGCACCAGTGAGCCCGTGCATGCTGGTGGCCCAGTCTGTGGCCAGTAGGACAGGATCAGTGCCCCGGGTTCCTTGGCCGTGCTGTGCTGGGGATGGTGACAGCACAGGGGACACGTGCGGCAGAGGCAGGGGCTGGTGACGTGCGTGCGTGGCCCTGTCAGAGGCCGTGCAGGCAAACCGGTCTGGCAGCTGCCTGCCCCTGCTGCCCGGAGCAGCACCCTCGGGGCCAGGCTCAGGCTGTGCATCCATGGCTGGGTACTGCTCACTCCAAAGCAGGGCTGGCTTTCTGTGGCCAGAGCCCATAGGGGAGGTCCCTGCAGGGTGGTAAGTGGGATGTGAGGGCAGAGTGGGGACAGGCTGTGTGTGCCTGGGGGTCAGGAACCAACCCAGCTCCACTGGAGGACTAGAAGCCTTTTAGCCCTTTGAGGTCAAAGTGCAGCCAACGCCTGCCATGGCACAGGTCTGAGCCCAGAGTGGCTGCACTGGCACAAGGCGAAGCTGCAGGCAAAGAGCCAGGACCTTCCCAGGTCCCACATCAGCTCTGCCCGCATCAGCGAGCAGAGGCCAGACCCTCGGGTCCCTCCTTCCCAGCCCCACAAGGACACCCCGTGGGGCACACGGCTGTGCCAGGCTCATCTCCATCCCAGAGATGGAGAACACAGCAGAGTGCGGAGCAGGGAGCAGCCAGCGCAAGGGGCGCGAGGCAGAGGAAAGCAAACAAGAGAAAGCAATCGAGGAAGCTCGTGTCTCAGCCAAAGTCCAAAGCAGGAGGCGCTTGCAAAGGACACTGGAAAAGTTCCAGTGATGTTATCTGCCCCCACAGAGCAAGATTAGCCCAGAGGAGGAAAAAGGCCATTAGAAGAAGTTGTTTACAAGCCGGGCAAGCCAGCTCAGTGGTTGGAACACACTGGCACTGGGGTCAGCTGCTGGCCTGGCTGCCACTTGGGAGGAAGCACCAAACCCCTCCATGCCCTGCTCTGGTCTCCATCACCTTTGCACTGGGTAGTGGTCCAGGCAGGTGAGTCGCTGTAGGTGCACACAGGGAGCCGTGTGTCCCTGGGTACGTGTGCAGCGAGCGCACACAAGGCACATGCGCCTTGGCAGCTCCCAGTGAGCTGAGCGAAGGCACAGCCTGCCCTTCCTCTGCTCCTGAGTCACACAGCTTCATGGCAAACACAGGGGAAGGTGTCCCTGCCCGTGGCAGGGGGTTGGAACTGGATGAGCTTTAAGGTCCCTTCAACCCAAACCAAGCTGGGGTACATTGGTTCCATCAGCTCAGAGCAACCCAGAGACTCTGGTCAGACAGAGCTATACTGGGTGAGAAGAAGCTTAATATTTAATGTAACTTCTACATCTGGGCTTGTTGATGGATTTAATGAAAGACAAACTGGAGGAACTCCATTGGAATTTGCTCCTGGTTCAGTGTTCACAGCACTATGGCCTCTGCAGAGCGGGTGAGCTGCAAACCCTCCCCACTGCCACCTTCCTCCTTCACATACCCAAAATGTAGACTCACAGAACCACAGAATGGTTTGGGTTGGGAAGGACCTTAAGATCATCCAGTTCCAACCCCCTGCCATGGGCAGGGACACCTCACACTAGGCCATGTCACCCAAGGCTCTGTCCAAACTCGCCTTGATCACTGCCAAGGTCAAGGGATGGAGCATTTACCACTACTACATTTACCACCATGTAGATACCATCTTCACATGATGAGGGGCAGATGAGGTGAGGACACAAGGCTTATGGAGAAAAAGGCAGATGGGAGATGGCTGCTACCTTGATGTTTTATAGCTGATCCCTCCTGTTCTCTGTTGTGCCCTTGACATTCTCCACCCTTGATGGAGCAAAATGCCTTAGTGATTCACATCTGCACTCCTCCAGCCCATGATCTTCATCCATTGCTGCAAAGCCAACAGCGTGCAGGAGGAGCAGCTCACCTGATGCTGGAAAACAATACTTCAGGACTCCCCTGTGATACAGCCGAGAGCTCCAAGGAGTTTCAGCTGCTGTGAAGGTGATTTATGCACCCTGCTGCCCTCCATCTGGCCATGGCCAGACCCAGATACAGCAACGCCAGGCACTCGTACCTGCTTTGAAACTTGCAGGAGCTCTGCAGGGCCAAGCATTGACACAGTCGGGCGCCCAGTACCCTTTGGGTTCCTCTGATCCTTCCATCTACACCCAAAGCTCACATGATTGCTTCAATTGTTCTGCAATCTCCATGCAAAGATGAGTCCCACCCCACAGCAGTGGGTGGGTTGTACTTAAATGTATAGTGAGAGTCGCTTGGGCAGAGGAAATCCCCCCAGAAACCCTCTACCCGCTCTCCATTCATCAGCACATCCTACATCCTGCAAAGCTTTTTATACAAATGGTCTTTTTTGCTTCCCTCCCCTCAAAACTGAGATCTTGGGCTGTAAATCAGCAACTGGAATTAGCAAGAACCAGTTCTGACATAAGCAAAGCATTGCGAGATCAAGTGTTCACATCTCTGCCCCTTGCCACCTCTCTGGGAGCTTTGGGGACCTGATGTTATCACAGTAATGCCACTGGAGCTGCGCCTGATGATCAGGGGTCAAATAGGAGGAGGCAACCTCTTACATAAGTAAAAGGAGAGGTGACACAGCATCGCTGTGCATCAGCCTGCAAGCACCCTCCTAAGAGGGAAAAGGGAAGGTGTGCAACACGCTGGGGGTCAGATGCCTGAGCTAAGGCTCACCCACTTGGATGCCTTAACCTGGACACACACACAGAGGAGGTGATTCCAGATCCCCAGTCATGCAGAGCCAAACCGGTGCCACTGGAGCAGCAGTGTGATTAATTCCCAGCTTGGGTAATCCACCCCGGATAACTCGGGGCTGATGACACCCGTACAGCCAGATTGGGCTGTCCCACGTCAGGAAGCCGTGAATGACACACTGCTGGAGGTGGTTTGTGTGCTGACCAACCGACAGCCCCAGGGCTGGGGCTGATACCCAGACAGTTCATCTGCTTCCCCAGAAAGGCCAGTCTGTCCAGGGCCCGTGACAGATGGGGACATGGAGGAGGGCCTGCAGCTCGAGTCACTCACTGTGCCTTGTAAGTATGGATGCAGTAGCTTGAATCCTTCATGCTTGGGACCTCAGCACAAGGAACTACGGCTTGTTCTGGGCCAAGACCAGTGAGAGAGATGCTACCAAGACTAGTTTTTAGCTGGGCAGAATGAAATGACTCAAAGTCTATGGTTGTCCCTATAAAGTAAGATCTTACTGCTTTAAGAGCGGTCCTCATGACACAGAGCACAGGAAGGTGGCAGACAGGGAGGCTGTGGATCTGTGGATGCTTCCCTCCACTGTGATGCCCCTTCCTACCTGCTACTCCTGTCCAAGGACTCCTGGCCAGGACCTGCTCTGCACACCACACCTCCAGGTGGGAGAGGTTTTTATGGCTGGATGCACCTGCAAAGATGAGGGCAGACACTCCCCTTGTGCTTGTTTCTCACCTGGGTGTGCGTCTGCATGTGCACTCTCAGGCAGGGCTATGGGAGCGGGTGTTTGTTAGCACCAGAAAACACATTTGTCAAAATCTCTGGAGTCAAAACCCAGTGGTGATGTAATTCCATTAAACAATTAACCAACTGCTTCATCAGCTGAGGCTCCACAGCCTCAAACTCATCCCAGGCATCCCTAGGCCCAATCCTTACCCCAAGGCACATAAGTGGGGTAGTGAACAGGGATGACCCAAGTTTCCTGCAGCCGAGTATCCCTGAAGGAATCGTGGTGCCCACACCACACTGAGGACACCGTTCCTTGTTCCAACCACCTCCATGTCCCTTGCCCTTTTTGATGCTGATATGGAAAGACAGAATGGTGCACGCACCCTACATGGGCATGGTGACACCAGGCAGCATGGCTGGACCATGGCACCCTGTTCCGGAGCAGAGTTTGGACTTGGGGGGATGCTCACCCTCAGCAGGGTATCAGTGGGAAATTGGGGGTGCTGGGCCCTGGCATTGGATGCTGTCTGATGCTTTCCTCCCCAGCCTGCCTGAAGTGTCTGCACCTCAGATCCCAGGGGGAGCACCCAAACGCAGCGCTCTGATTGTGGGGATTTGCCAACATCACAGAATCACCTGTGCTGGAAAAAAACCTTGAAGATCATCAAGTCCAACTGTTCCCCAGTACTGCCAAGGCCACCACTAACCCATGGCATTGAGTGCCTTGATTACACAGTATGTGAACACTTGCAGGGACAGTGACTCCAGCCCTGCCCTGGGCAGCCTCTTCCAATGGCTGAGCACCCTTGGGGGAAGGAATTGTTCATAATCTGCAGACTAAACCTCCCAAGGAGTAGCTTGAGGCCATTTCCTCTTGTCCTGGCATTTGTTCCTTGGGAGCAGAGACCACCTCTTGGCTCCATCCCTTCAGGCAGTTGCAAAGAGCACTGAGGACCCTCTCCAGACTGAACACCCCCAGACCTGTGCTCTGGTGCCCTTCGTGCTGCAGGCAGCCGGTCCCCCTCAGGATGAGCTCTATTGGGGCAACAGAGCGCGGCTCCGAGAGCCCGGCAGCAGCCGCCGAGCAGAGCGGAGCCATCGAACCGCCCCGTCGGGGCTGGGCAGCCCCGCTCCGCGCTCCAATGGGCGGCGGGGGGCCGGGCCCGCCCCTGCCGCGGCTCTATAAGAACCGGCTCCGCGGCGCCGCGCATCCAGCGAGCGGAGCCGGGGTCGAGCGTGAGCTTCGCTGCTGCCGCTGGAGTTGGTGCCCGCCGGAGCCCCGGATCGGTGCGTACCCGAGCGGGCAGAGCCCGGCTCCTCGGGGCGGTGCGGTGCGGTGCGGGGCCGCGCTGCGCTGCGCTTTGTCCGCGGGCAGGCAGAAGACAGCAGCGGCTCCCGGGGAGGGTGCGGAGCGGCGCCTTCCCCCCCGGGGCGGCGGTGGGGATCCTCGTTCGGAGCGGGACGCGGTGGTGTCCGCCGGAGCCTTGCCCTGAGCCGTGTGTCGCCTTGCAGGGGCCTGGAGCCATGGCTGAGCACATGATGATGTCCATGAGCCACGGTGGCAGCGGGCTGCAGGGTTACCGCATGGGGGTGAGCGGGCTGCAGGGACCCCCGCAGCATGGGCAGCACGTGCTGAGGACGCTGCCTGCCGCCGGTCAGATGATGCCCTATGGAGGGGCCACCATGGATGGTGCGATGAGGCCAAGACCCAACCTCAACGGACAGATGAGCCACCACCAGATGCAGAGCGCGATGATGTTCAACGGCCCCAGCCAGCAGCAGCAGCAATACATGGGGCCGGTGGGCACCCAGCAGCTGATGGCCAGCATGCACCTACAAAAACTCAACACCCAGTACCAGGGTCACCCCCTGGGTATGAGCAATGGGCCCATGGGAGCTGGTGCCCAGCAGTACAGAGTGGGGCCAAGCCAGCACCCAGCCATGCAGCACATGCCCTCACCAGCGCTGACCTTGAACGTTATGGACACTGATCTCATAGATGAGGAGGTCTTGACATCCCTTGTCCTGGAACTGGGGTTGGACCGGATTCAGGAGCTGCCAGAGCTATTCTTGGGACAGAACGAGTTCGACTTCATTTCAGACTTTGTTAGCAAACAGCAGCCCAGTGCCATCAGCTGTTGAGGGGCTTGGAGCTCCTCCTTGCGTCTTGGTGGTTTTGAGTTTGTTTCTAACTTCCTTCTCCACCTGCCATCCTCCTCCCTTCCCCTGCCTTGCCCTGCCCTGGATTCCTGCCCTCCCCAAAGAGACAATCATCGGACACTGGCTTGCAATGGATTGCTTTTTGTTTTGGTTTTTGTTTTTTCCTTCTGTGTGGTTTTCCTGTGTGGGGAGGGAGAGCGCACCCCAAACCGAGCAGCTCCAGAGCTGCCTCCAAATGGCATTAACAGGATTTCTGGCTTAAGCAGAAATAATGGACTTACGACTTTCCACACCTCTGCTGTGGGCGCAGGCAGTGATGGGCAGCCCTGCCGGGAGCTGGATTTGCTCAAGGATTCTGTGGTGCCAGTGAAGTTAAAGGATCCCCTGAGAGAGGAATGTCTCCCCGGTGCATGGTTTGAACCAGTTTCCCCTTGCAGACAAGGGGGGGGGGGTTAGATATTTGTTGGGACTTTCTACTGTGACAGTAACTAGGTCTCCAGTCCCGTGTGTCCAGCTCGGAAAAGGGGCACTTCCCCTGCAGCAGGCTTTTCTCTACCTGGCTGAGCAGAATAAAGGATGCCTTGGGGAAGGGTGTGCATACGTGCCTAAATGTTCATCCCTGGAACTTCAGCTCTCTGACCTGTACAGCCGATCAACTGTAAAATATACCAAGTGTTTGAGGTTGATTCAGGCATAAAGGCTTAAAGCTGCAGTCTCGCTCCACTTTTTTCCACCTCTGAAACCAAATAAAGACCACGAAGCTGTATATTCCAGTTCTAATCTTATTTATTTTTCCCCCCTATGATTATTTATTTGCGAAGGGCTCCTTTTTGTCGTTTGGCTTTGGGACTGCTAGGAAGGATGTATGGAGAGTACTGCAGCTTTAAGATGCTGGCTTCCAAAAGCAAGCAAGCAAAGCCTGGGCTAGTTTTCAAGCTGCTCCGCAGAAAGTCACTTTCCCCCCGAGAGCTTTGTGCTGGACGCACAGGACTGAGAACCCAACACCTTTCCGAACGTGATAAAGATGACTCGGTTTCTCCTGCCCGCACTCACGAGAGGGTCAATGGAAAGAAGCCGGTGGGGTTTTGTTTCCTCCGCGGTCTCTCGTTTCCAGGCTCCTGTTATCTCCCGGTTGCTGCTGCCCCCTGCCGCTGTCAGCTCCTTTGGCAGCCCCCCCCCTTCCCCTTCAACCCAGCGCGATTGTACAGCCCGGTTTGCAAATAAAAGCTGCCCCATCCGCGCTGTGCGTTCGTGTGCTGCTGTCCCTGCGGCTGAGCCCGCACCCCAGCTCCCAGGGCTCTATTTCCAGCCCTCCCAGCGCGGCCGGCAGGATGAGGTGCTGCTCCTCGGCACCCAGGGCGAGATCCTAGAGGGAAGATGCTGCTCTGGTGCAGCCCTGCTGCTGCCTGACCCGAGGTGCTCCAACGAGGGGTGGTCCTTATGCTCCTTCCAGACCAAGCGCAGCTCTGCCAGGAGCTCTCTGCTGCAGTTTCCTATAGCACAAGGGCTCTAAACCCAGGACATCCTTTGCTCTACTCTTCCAGAGCTTAGCTTGGTCTTTTTAAAGGTTCCCAGCCAGTCCTCCTGCAGAGTTCACTTGTCCTTTTCCTGCCTTGCAGCAATGTGGATGCTGGTATTGGAGTGGCTGGATCACTTAGAACCCACTTTGGGTTGCCTGTTTGTCTCCCTGGCCTTGGTCTTTGCCCTACTCAAGAGCATTTGTTAAAGTCCCGTTCTTTTGGTGGTGATGCCTGTGCAATCTGGTCAAAAAGTCAATGGCAGGGCTTGTGTTGCAGGTGGGAGAGCCTTGCTTGGGATGTGAGCCCTACGGTGATAGGGCTGGTTGAGACCTAGAAGAGCTTTCCTGTCTCTGTGCACCTGCAGAATAGCAGAGGGCTTGGTCAGCAGATTGTGGGTAAGGAGCAAGGAGCCTGCAACCGGATTTATTCTTTAGACTAAAAGTAGCTGAACCCCAGAACAAAGCAGCATGTCCCATTGCTGCAGTGCGCTGGGAAAGGGGCTGTTGGTTGAAGCTGCAGCAAGGGAGGTGGTGTGGCTCCAGAGGTGTGAAGTGACTGAGGGGTGTTACCTCTTCATTTGCTCAAAATTGACACTGTTAATCGTGCTTAGCCTCTGTGATTTCCTAGGCCAAAACCAATTCTGATTTCCCATTGAGCTCTGCTTTTCCCATCTAGCCCACTCTGACCTCTCCATCCGACAACAGGCAGGAGGGCAGCAGGGTGATGCCCTAAAGGACTGGTATCTTGACAGGCACTGCAGAGCAGTTTGGGAGCTTTGAGGACACAAGTGAACTCCTTACTTATGTCCACTTGTGTCTCCTCAATGGAGAGTTTGCCTGTACAGACAGCTGCTGGGAAGCACCTCTCCTCTGAGAGATGGGATAGAAGGAAGGTTCTCCAGCCCCGCTGCATGGGGATAGCTGGGCAGAGCCACCCTGTTCCCTCACCTAGGCTGGATCCTCTGCTATACTCCAAGTGGATTTTGTAGGTATTCCTGTGCAGACCAGATCTTGGGGCAGCCTCTGGGAGGAGGGGAGTGTGAACGTACAGCAAGACAATACAGTGCTCTCCATCCCTGTCTTTGACCACGTATGCTCTCTAAGTGAAGCTTGCTGATAGCGCTCAGTGATTCAGAGCAGCAAGGATGAAAGCCCACTGCAGGGAGCTGGTGAAGGATCTGCTAACATATGGGCAGTATGAAGAGTCTGTAAACACATAAAGATTGTGTCTGTCTTAGGAGGCTTCAAGAGCAACAGAGTTAAGGGCTGGAAGGCTGGCCAGGCATACACTATCATGCATATTTGCCTTGTGTTTGTGTTCTGCTAAAGGCATCTACTAAGGACAGCGCTGGGGGCAGGATGTGATAGTGTCTGTCAGGTCTTCTGGTTTGACCCAGGACACCTCTTATGCCACAGGATAAGTGTGCTGAGACACGTGGCCTCAAAGAGCAGATAGACAAAAGACATGGGGAAAAAATCCACCCTAATGGAAAGATCCTGTTTCTGAGTCAGGAAGGCTTTGAGCCACAGATCAGTGATGGAGAGCGATTGAACCTGGGAAGGACCATGGCACATGTGCCAGCATCCTCTGCCCTAGGCGCTGCTGTCAGCCACAGGTAGAAGCAGTGCTCTGCATGCCAGGAACCAGTGGTGGGACCAGCCTAGGGGTGACCCATGAGTGTGTGCCCCCACTCTCACTGCCCATTGCAGCCAAAGGGATTACCCTCAAGTGAGAACTGCCAGGGAAGGACAAGGCAAAAGCCCATCTAGCCCTACCTGCCCTCTGGGACTGGGTTGTCAGGGAGGCTTGATGGTCTTCAGGATGCTCCTTCACAGCTTTCAGAAAGGAGTGGTCCAGGAGTTCTGAGCCACAGGTTACGTCTTTACCATGTTAAATACCCTGCTGTGGACCTATCCACCCTATACTTGCAATCATTTGTTAATTCATAGGTACGTTTTACTTCAGCAACACCTGCCAATGAAATCCACAGGGCAGTTGTGAAGATGTAACCAAGCTCTTCATAAGAAGCTTAAGCTCTGTAAGCTCCTCTTCATTTTAAACCCGCCACCTACTCACTGTGCTGGGTGTCCCAATTCCCACTCATTTCTTGGTCATCTGCTCCATTTTATAGCCCCAGTGATGTTTGCTCCTGAGTCTCTCCCCATTCAAGGATCACTTTGTGTTGTAGATCGTTTTGAGCACTTGTTTCTGCCCTCTCTCTAGTTTTATGGGATGGAGGAGGGAACAGCACTGGTTTAAGCCATAGATGTGTCATGGGTTTCTCCTATGCTATAATTAGATCTGGTTGTTCTGTATTTCCATCATTCATCACAGAACCACAGAAAGATTTAGGCTGGAAGGGACCTCTGGAAGTCACTCAGTCTGCTCCAGGCAGGGCTGCACTCAAAGGCAGGGCAGCTGCTCAGGGCCTAGGCCAGGCAAACGTGGAAATCATATTTCTTAAGGATCTTAAGGATTTCTTAAGGATCATAAGGTCCTTTCCAGCCTTAACTATTCTATGATTCTATAACTCTTCAGAGACTGGAATTTCTCTGGACACTTAAAAGCTGAGGGTCTCTTCTGGGGCATCATTTATGGCGCATTACAACACTCCTGCTTTTCAGATGCTGGTTACACTCTGCCGTTAGGTTGCTTCATAATTGCTCCACCAAGGTATGGACCAAGTCCTGCTTTTCCTGTTTCAACTGTAAATACAAATGACAGTTGATTGCAGGGCACTGTAGTGAGTTGGGAACAGCTTAGACAAGGCAGCCAGCTCCTGTTGCCGGTGGTGTGTGAAGCTCAGCAGCACTCTCAGTGTGCAGGGGGCTGTGCTGCATGCTGCAGCCTCTGGGTGGGAGATTGATTCCTTCCCAGATCTGCCAGAAATGCCCCTGAGTTTATGTTTTCAGGGAGTTCTGCATGCTCAGCCTGCTTCAAGAGTGCATGACCTGCTCGTGACCACTGGAATGCCACAAGGGTGAAGGGACCTCAGTTTCCTGATCTTCTCCCATTCTTGGCTCTGACCCATGTGTCCATCCTCACTAGTTCAGCTGTGTTTGGTGTGTGGAGCCACACTGATGTCTGGCTCTGTTCATGGATGGAGAGCTGCATAGTCTGCCCCAACCTCTCCTAGCTTGTAGTGCTGCTGGATGATAGCATAATCCTTGATTTACTGACACTTCAAGGATGCTGGAGAGGGGCTCTTCATCAGGGACTGCAGTGATAGGACAAGGGGTGATGGGTTCAGACTGAAACAGGGGAAGTTCAGATTGGATATAAGGGAAACCCTCTGCACATCTCCACCTATCTCCAACAGCACCAAGACACCAGGAGGGCACAGGGAGGTTTTCTTTCACTCTTTCAGTCTGGGTCAAACCCCTGTGTATTGTTTTGTATTGCACATGGACTTCTGTGCTGGGCTACTAAGAGCCAAACCCAAAAGCCACCCCATCACTGGGAAAACCTGGGTAAGACTGCGGTGCTGCATTGTGAGCAGTGCCAAGAGCAAACCTTGTTTGCAAAGGGACACAGCGCTGTGCTTTTAATAATTAAACCTAGTCCTAGCTTCCCTGGGGTTCTGGCGGGGTTCAAAAGAGGATCCCATTGTCCCTGAAGGAAGAGGAGCTCAGCACTGCCCACAGAGCCACAGGCCTGCTGGGG